AACTTTATAACCCACGAATATTGATTAACCTAATGCAAATACGAGGCATTGTGTGTACAGAGTGCTTCATAATAATAAAAACGGCAGGGTAAAAGATACCACAGAAGTGTCAGTTTACAAGAGAGTTGTATCTCTACCCTACTGCATTCAATCTACAGAAAAGTAAATAATAAAAGTGAAACCTGAGCTCACTGTTTTCCTGGAGCCAGATGCCTCACAAATTTCGCAGAAAGCAGGGTACAGTGTAGACAAAAATCTGCCCTTTGAACAACTACGAGAGTTGCTAAAATACAGCTGTAGAGCGATACTCTCGTAGCATGAATTTCTTATATATTGTGTAGATCATTCAGTAATTAAACTGATTGGCATTATTCTCTACAGCATCTTTGTTATAATTTTACTCATGTTCTTTTAGATACTATTCTTATTTAGGTATACAAGACTTCCACCTTTTCCATTGACCCCAGAAAACGAGGGAAAAAGGTTAATCCATCTAGGGATCTGATGGATTTCCTTCTGGATTACAGTTGCTTTGGGGAAGACACTACATTTCTGGTGTGATCACTTGATAGCAGCTGGTTAATGCTCTTCCAGCAGAGCTCTAAAATAGTGGAGGAAATAAGATGGGGTCTGAGGAGGCAGCAATCAAGAGGTGCTTCCATTTCCTAGTAGTGATTTTTCCTCGAGAGGAAGCACAGAAAAACTGGACTGCAATGGAGATGAGGCACGGGACTCAATGGCTTGTCTGTGGTTAACCGGTCCCTGCAAGGGCAGCTCTGTGACAAAGCACAGTCAGGAACCTCTGAAAAACCCCAGTGAAGGCAGGCTGGGCAATGGGCACTGCGGTGGGAGGTTAGGTCTGTTGTTAGTGGTGGGCAGGGCGGCTGTCACTGTCCCCTCTGCGCCTGGAGCATCGCTGGTGCTCTCCAGTTTCTCCGTGTGTGGTGGCTGTGTCAAGCCAACACTGAAGCTGGACAAGGACCTTCAATTTCTGGACTGTCCCCTCAGTACAGGATCCTGTGTGATAACAGCTGTCAAATAGCTGCTGCCTATGGCTGGTAAAGAGTAAAACCCTGGTTCTGCTGAAGTCAATGGCAACAATCACAGTGACCCCAGAAAAGCCAAATTTTCAGCAGTATTACCCGGCATATCGGCACAGACAGCAATCCATGGCCGCCCAAACACCCACGCTCTGAATAAAGCTAAGTCTCTCTTCCCCAGAAACTAGTCGTATGATAGCTTTCCTAAAAGCTAGACTTTTGTGTAAATACAAAAAAAAAAAAAAAAAAACAAAAAAAAAACCAAACCCCAAAACAAAGGCACGTAGAATAAATGCCATTTTTGTTTCCTAGAAAGAGGAAACAAATCCTGAGTAGCACAGCTCAGTGACTGCTGTGCAGCACAAGCGCCTTTCGGAGAGGTTTACCGGTAGGTGGTGACATGTAATTATTTATTTGCATTTTTCCGGCTGCAAAAGGTTCTGAGCTCCAAGCAGCTGCACAGTGTGGGTTCTACACTTCTTGATTACACTTTCCTTTCATGTTGCTGCACCTTTCTGGGATATCTTTTACGCGTTTCACAGCTGAAGAAATGTCTCATAGCTGCAGTTGCATCTCCTGGCTGTAGCATGTCAAACTGTTCCTGCCCTGGGAACCGCAGGGCTTGCCTTCGTGCTGCTGAGCTAGGGTTTTGTGCGCTTGCCGTGTTTTTCATCTGCTGATGAAAGGTACTAACAACACATGCAAGAGGAAAAAAGTCAATAATTTCTTTATAGAGCGTACCTCTTATTTACTCCCAGTGAATAAACAGGTTTTGTAGTTCGCTGTGGACAAATTTGCTATTTACTGCCAAATGGAATTAGCTGCCTCTCGTAACTCCATCACACCCTTCTGCTCCCCAGTTATGAAGCCATCAGTAATGCTGGAAAAAAATGATTCACCCTAGTTTGCCCTCTCTGTTGTTGTCTATTTAAATACCACGTGTGGGTCATGACTAATGAAAGCCCCAGAGCCAAAACATACGGGGCTTGGGCAGTTAGTGGGTTGTTTCTGAGTAGCTGTATGAAGCATGCCAGGAGGCTTCTCGTGGGCTTCAGGAATCACCGCAGATCCTCTCCAGAAGGGAGCTGGGGCTGTTTGCTTTACAGGAACAGTCTTGGCTCCGCGGAGGCCATGACCAGACATACTTTGCCGACTGGAGCAGAGGTGATAGATAAGAGTGCTCCCGGCAGGCTCTGTGCACAGCCCGTGGGCACATCGAGGCGAAAAATGTCTTGGTGCCCTTCTGGGGTAAGCGGTGCAATGTAAGCAGGCATCCGTCTGGGCACAAGTCCTGACCTTGCAGTCGGTGTGGGCAGGCAGGCTGAGGTGGAAGCGGGTGCCAAACACATCGTATGGGTAAAATGCCAGCACACTGCTTTGTCTGCATCCACCTTCTTTTGAGTTGCTCTTCTTTGAACTGGTTTTAGCTCAGTATGCACTAGGGCTTAACCAAAAGGGCAAATGGCGGCTGTTAAAAGGTTTTGCATTTTCTAACTACCATCCAATGCATTCCTGGGTTTCTCCACTGTTTTTAAGGGATGAACAACCATATTCAAACCTGCAATGACAAAGTCGCATACATTCAAATTCCTGCTGGTGTCGTTGGCCTGAGCCTGGCCTGGCCAGTGAGTCCTGAGCCCAAGCCGTGTCAGTTCTTTGCACTAATATTCTTCTTACCATTTATGCCAGGAGTCTGCTTCACAAACTGAGACAAAATGAATCAGTATGTTTCAGATATCATGGCTCTGTCTGAAGCTGAAGAATGCTGAAATGCCACATCCAGAACATCAGGGCACTCTGCTGGTGCTGCTGAAAAATCAGGAAAGCCTAATGCCCACTGACTGAAGTGAAAGGAGTATCCCACATCTCATCGGCTGATTTTGGGGGAGTATCTGTGGAAATGCTCATTTATCACAAGGACATATGTCACAGGCTGCAGCTTACTATAGCACCGGCTGGCTTTGGGGCTGTAGATTGGCCTATTGAAGAAACGAGGTGGGAGATGACCTAGAACGAGGAAGCACCGCAAACTATGCAAGAGTGACTCTGTTCTCTCATAGGAGTTATTTATCAAGGGTGCTACCACATAAGGGTCTCTTGAATTGAAAAGAGAGGGCACATTTTATTTTCCTGAGAGAAGAAGCAATTATTTAAGGCAGGCTGCCAAGCAGCTCCTGTTCTCTGCCCACATTTGGTTACACTTTTAGTACTATTGTCATAGAATCATAGAATCATTCAGGCTGGAAAAGACCTCAAGGATCAAGTCCAACCGTCAACCCAACCCCACCCAACCCACTAACCCATGTCCCCAAGCACCACATCCACACGTTTCTTGACCCCCTCCAGGGATGGTGACTCCACCACTGCCCTGGGCAGCCTGTTCCAATGCCTGAGCACTCTTGCAGTGAAGAAATTTTTTCTAATATCTAACCTAAACCTCCCCTGGTGCAACTTGAGGCCATTTCCTCTTGTCCCATCACTTGTTACTTTAGAGAAGCAAAAGAAGGTGGGCGGCTTTAGAGAAGTTACCCCGGTTGTGGCAGCAGGATGCCATTTATAAATGAAGTTATCATCACATGGCAGCACAGCTACCCAAAGCACGTAAGGAAAGGGCAAGTATCACTGGCAGGCCCTCTTGGGGGAGCACCTTATA